TGCTTCTGATTTCAGGAAGTAGTTAAATAAACAGCATAGATATGAATGATGCATTATTTAAATGCAGAACTTGCATATTACCAGTCTGTACCTTGCTGTTGCACAATCAGCACTTTCCCCTGATGCAGATAGTGGTGCTCTCGCAATGCCACTTAGAAATCAGAGCACAGAGTACGAAACCTCTCACGCTGCATAAACAGCTGGATTATAAAACAATCCTTCGCTGAGATATTTTAACACTTAACCATATTTTCTTGTAGATTTGGCATAATTTGAAGCTGATAACTCATTTCATTCTTAACCCCACACCTGCCTGGAATGCAACCAGGCAAAGTTTATACAAACTCCAAATGAACTCTGTATGTGTAGGACAATGCACTTTCCTTGACGAATTTTTTTTGTAATCTAAGAAAAATAATTAACCTTAACACTTTTAGGAAAATAAGTAAATAAATAAATAACACAACCAAACCCACCAACCCTTCCATTTCAATATTATTGCAGGAACGGAGGAAAAGAAAATACTTACCTGCGTACACGAGCATGGTGATGAGAAGAGCAGTCAAATGGACTCTGTATTTGGGATTAACACTCTCTGCTCGAAGTACGGCCAGCTGGAAAACGACAGAAAAGAGCAGTTCTATGCAGAACGCCTGCACCTCTGCAGTCTGCATCGGGCTGCTGCAGCCCTGCGAGAGGGCTCCGAAATGTGGCTCTGCCATCTCCAGACTCCAGATAAAGTGCATAAACGCCCTGGCGAGCACTGCGGCCACGAACTGAGCGGCGATCTTGAGTGCCCCGGTCTGGAGCGACACTCCCCCGCCCCACATGGGCTGCAGGGTCCCGCAGGGGTTGCAGGTGCTGCCGGGCAGAGTCAAGCCGTGCAGGACGGTGAAGCCGTAGGTGAGGGTGAGCGCCGTGTGCGGCTTCGGCTCCACGTTGCCGAGCAGGCTGAGCTCGTTCGTGCAGGCGCAGATCTGGAAGGTGCTGAACATCTCCAGGAGGAAGGCGAAGAGGCGCGGGTGCAGGCGCAGCCGGCGGC